TCTGCAAGAACAGCAACTTCTAATAATTCCTCCATAAAAAAAAACACCAAGGAAAAATTTATCAAACTCAGAATCTTCAGGATAAATAATAATAAGTTAGAAAACAAGCAAAAAAAAGTTGGGTTAGATCACTCAACTCAGCTGTCAAAATGTAAACAGAATAAGGGATTAGAGGATTTTTGTGTCTTCGTGTCCGAGAACTATAAAATACCATGTAAAATACCGTATTAGCGTAGCGTCTGAGGCACGAGAACTCTCTATTATACTCCGCCGATACGGCGCTGAAGCTAAAAGTAATTAAGTGATACTTATCTTCTTTTTATTCCTATCCGTTCTCTGTCCTCTGGATGCAGGCCTCTCTCAGATTTTGCCAGGTATTTCTATTCGTTGTGACCTGGTACCAGTTCAGTCTCAGTGGCGGATTTAGGGGGGCTCGGGGGGCGCGCGCCCCCCCCTATTGAGCGACGCAACAACGAAATTTTTAACGAAAACACAAACATATTCATCAAGCATTATCCAACATGAAATTCCATATGGTTTTTGCTATTTTTCCAAATTTTTAATACTTTTAAATACGTTTGGCAGCAGCGAGCTGGGAGCGAATCGACTGCGGATGACGTAAATCCGCACCAACTTTGAATTTAATCTATAATTGAAAATTCCAATTAAATTTAATCTCCGATTAAATTAAATGTTGATGTCAAATGATAGTTTATGAAAATCTAAGACAGGAATGTGAAATCGATTTTCCTCTGAAATTAACCGTTCAGGTTTTACAGCCTGTCAAAGTTGCAAAAAGTCAATGTTCAACTGTCAATATTTCCAAAACAGTTGAACTTAGGTATAGGGTATATCACATGAAATCTGCTCAGAATTTTACGTAGAATCCAAATATGCAATCACATACAGGGTGTTTTATTTGAAAAAAAGAAAGTTGGTCTAGATAGCAAACAAACCAGAAGTGACACAGGCAATACGTTTAAGTAGAATTGTGGGAAATATTAGGGACATAAAGTTACTTGAAATAATTCATCGGTATCGGTAGCCGTAACGCAACTAGATACGTTGACAAGCGAAAAGGCTGTTAAAGCGCTCCCTGTTCTGGTAAACGTAAACGCATTTCATAACCTAGACATTTTTGTCTCAAAACTTCGGCGTTTTTATATCTAACCTTAAAATTGTTATTTTTTTTGCGATAGAGAAGCACTAAACACACAAGAAACTCAATAAAGTATAAACTAAACAAATTAAATCAACCCGGAAGAAAAGGGAGGTTATATTCATTTGAAATTTGACACATGCGTCAGGAATGTCAAGATACGTTACCGATACGGATACCGCGAGAGGACCGTAACGTTACGTTGTACGTACGGTATCTCGGCCTCCGTATCGCTTCTGCACATGCGCAGTACGATACCGATACGGATACCGAGCAAAAAATACGGAAGCTTTATGTCCCTAATTTACTGAGCAACTTTCATTAAGGTCACTTTTTCGTATACGAGGTAATTAGAAAGTTACAGGTATTATACGCGACTTTTTTGCCACTCTGTATATTTAAGTCGTTTTTTTATTATTTCTTATCTGAGCCTGAGGTCCTGATGGATCGCCCCCCCCCTAGAAGGAATCCTAAATCCGCCGCTGTTCAGTCTTTCCCCCCAGGGTCTTTCCATCTTGTTACTTTTCCGCTCCAGTTGTTGCTTGTGTTTCTCGCTACGTGGCCGGCCCAGTTCCATTTGAGGGTGCATTCTATGTGTAATGTCTTCGACCTTTGTTATATACCTATTTTCTCATCCAGTCTTGTGATGATCCCTTACCTTTATGAAATACCTATTAACTCCTTTCCATTGGTCTTTGATGTACTTGCAGCTTATTTAGGATTTTCTTTGCGAGCGTCCATGTTTTGCTTCTAGGCAACTACTGGCAGAATAGGTACATTCTTTGTAGACTCTAGTTTTCAACTTCATATTAGGTAACTTGGACCAGATATATGTGACGCATTTTACCATACGCATACGCCGCCCATCCCAGTCGTATTCACCTATTAATTTCAAGCTCTTGATTGACTTTGCCAAGTATTTTCCTGTCCTAGATACTTATTCTACTTTTTTCACCTTTTGGTTTTCTATGGATGTCTGTTTGCGCATTTGTCATAAACTCTGTTTTTGATACGTCCATTTCTAGATCCTCTTGTTTTTGGCTTCTTGGAGTAATTCTTCCAGCATGATTTGATTTCTTTCTAAGCCTCTGTTTCGTTCAGGGCGACTTATGATGTCATCAGCGAATCTTAAACTATTGAGGTTGAGGTTTTCTCCAGATATATTAATCCCTCTATTTTCCCAATGTAGTTCCTTGAACACATCTTCGAGGTCGAGGACTAGGGACTAGGGTGAACAGCTTAGGTGATAGATATTATATTGCCTTGTCTCCTCTTTTGATCTTCATGCATTCTTAATTTTATTTTTGTTGCTTCTTGAATATTTTTGATTGTTTATATATCGCGGATCTGTTCGTGCATTTCTCATAGCTCTTTCTATCATCCAGAAATCGACAGTGTCGAAGGCTTTCTAAAATCGAAAAGTCTCGTCGAAAGTGTTAGCCATGTTGTAATGTTATATTTGGTCGTCTTTTCCTTTAGTATTCTTATTGTGTGAAGATGTTCGTGGATGTTCTATAGTGCTGTAGCTCCTTCTATAGCCTACTTGTTCTGTAGGTTGGTCCTTATCATCGAATCAATCTAGGCGGTTGGTGATTATTCTCATAAACAGTTTGTACCTATATTTGAGACAGGAGGCTTAGTGGTCTATAGTTTTCAAGATTTGATGTCTTTTTTGTATATCAGAACGAAGATGGCAGTCTCCCAGTCATGTGGTATTTTTCCCTCTGCTAGACATTTATTAAAAAGTGTTTTCAGTTGTTTTACAAGGTAAAAATCTCCTTCGGCATTTCTGGTAGTATATCGTCCATTCCTGGGGCTTTTCCATTGTTTAATCGGTTTAGCGCTTTTGTAATTTCTTCCTCTTCTATATCAGGAATCTTTTCTGACCCAACATTTAGAATTTGGGATGTTTCGTTTTCTTGTTTGATATTTTTATTGTTGATTTTTGCGTCGTATAGTTCCTTATGGAAATTTTCCGCCTCTAGCAATATTCCATCTCTGTCTTCTATAATGTTTCCTTGTGCGTTCTCCCTTTTGAAAACGACTAAGCCTTTTTGTTGTTCTATCAGTTTTTCAATTTGTGCTTCTTGGGTACCTAGTTTTTAATGTCTTGTTTTATCATATTGGCTATTGTTAGTCTCTCTGTATTCTGGTGTATCTTTTTTCCTTGTTCTATGAGTTCTCTTCTCCAGCATTTGTTTTGTGTCTTTACTAAATGTTTCTGGCCTACCCTTCGGTTTCATATTTTTTGTTGTTTCTTCCATTGTTTCCGTTATTCCTTTATTAATTTGATTTATGTATTCATGAGGTTTTATGGGGTCTTTCTCCAGTTTTTGTGTTGATTTTGTCTGAAATTCTTCTTTTGGAGGCGGTTGAATTTCTTCGCTCTTTCAATTGTGCCATTTACGGCTATTTTACATCTATGACATTACCATTTTATGTTCGCTGCCAGTGGTGAATGAGCCTAAGACGTCTATATACATCTTGGATTATGCGTTTTTGATGTGTCACTAAAAGTCTTTTTCGTTTTTTGTCCATTTTTTTGTTAGGTCTGTTCATGTGTTCATCGCAAAGAGTTGCTCTCTTTCTAAGACGTTGATAAGCATTTCGCCGAATGTCCGAATTTGCCAATTTAACATGAGTCTGTGTCATCTTGGCCTATTTTTTCATTTAGATCTCCCATAATTTGGTGTGTAGGTACTTTGTTTTGTTCTCGTGTAGACACTGTGTTACCTCTTCATAAAGTTCCTCTACCTCATGGTCGTCGGTTGTTGATGCGTAAATTTGGATGAGTTTGATTGTTGATTTTCAATGTTATGTATATTACCCTGTCAGATTTGCCCTTGAGTATTTGTAGATATGAGACCATTCGTTTGTATCAGGATTCCAACTCCTCCATGAATGCTATTATCATAACCTTTGTAGAATAGGACGTGATGAGTCATTGTTCTCATTTTCTTCTGGCTTCTGCCAGTTCTACTATCTCCCAATTTATTCTATCGTGTTCGTAGTTTATTTCCTCTAACATTTCTTAATTTTTCAAGGTCCTTGCGTTGTATGCTCCGATATATAGTTGGTAGCCTGGTCCACTCCAGGGATTCTTAGCACCCTCTGTTCGGTCGCTGGTCTGTCCGCTGCTTTCGTAAGGGTAACCAAATTGCTGAGGGCTCTTTCCTTTATCTTTCTGTCATTTGAGAGGGGTTTTGCCATGAAACACCACATTGGCAAAACGTCTTGGTGAGTGAGAACTTCAGCCGCCTCTAACATGAGGAATAGCGCGTTCCAATTGGTCCGCGGGAGGTATTTAATTTCCCTCCTACCACCCATATCTGGGAGGCATTCCGTTCCCCTATCCGCCACCTGGGGACGCGCTCTCTAGGGGTTACAGGCTCTCCCGTGATACTTAAAAACCTTGCCACAAAAATAACTGTTATGTACGCTGGGAAATGAAATAACCAATTTTTAATTGTTGGAGGGGTTGCTAATAAAATAATGTGCAAACCTCGGAGGATGTTTTTATTTCTGCCTCGAGATTATTAGTCAATCTCGATGGTTCACGTCTTGATTGACTATATAAATCTCTCGAAAGTTATTAAATACCTTCCCAACTCGGTATGCATGTAATATACTATTGCTGCCAATTTAGATTGAAAATATCTAGGTAAAAAATCACGGAAATAGAAAAAGCCACAAGGAAGCACATTCGGAATAAAATATCAAGTATCATGCTGACCAAGGAATAAAATGTACGTTATTAGTTCCAGAAATTCAAACATTTTGTATGCAATTAAAAATATTTTAATACATGAAAAACAATAATTAGGTAACACTTAACTTAAAATTAAATACCAATTCCAGATCCATAAGTATCGTTCCATTTTATATAATTAACTAAATCAGCTTGTGAAACACTGGGCCTGACTCTCTTAAGAGAAGTTTCAAAATCGGTCATCGCTAATTTTCGAACATCTGCGGCTTGAATATTTTCAATATCATCGAAATTGATTGATCTTATTGGACCTAAGGCAGCTTCGGAACATAAATTTTTAATATCAGCCCCTGAATATCCATCTGATGATTTGGCAATGCTCGAAAAATCACCATCAGTCAAACTGTGGACCTCGTTGAAGATTAGTTTTTTCAAAAGTTCCAACCTTGCCTAAAATAATAAACAATTATTATTATTACTAACAATGATTCAAGAATTTGGTGAACAATGGCTAAGAACTAAGTTAATAACAAATAAACCTAACAAATATTTCAGCAAAAATTATTAGATATAATAGCAATGTGCAAAAAAAATAATTATTGTAAAATTCATCCATCACTGTAACTTGATAAATTAATAAAAACCCCAGCACTTTATGGAACAATCTGTGCATTTTACCTATTTAGGTGAGGGATATTGTTGCGTCATTGGCAATGAGGAAAAGAATGGGACCCAAAATAGACCCCTGTGGAACCCCAACAGTTATATCACTCCTGGCCGATTCCACTCCTCCAACCCTCACTGCGTGGGTTCTATCAGACAGATATGAACTCAATAAAGTTAGGCTATTCTTTGGCATGATGATGGCGGCGAGTCAACGACGACAAGTTATTTGATCCCGTTTTGGAGTCGCGATGGTAAAGTTCAAAATATTTTAAGTTAATTTAACAAGTTACCTCATAATCTGGTAATGGAATGTACAATCTTTTAACAAAGCGCCGTCTGGCAGCTTCATCTAACTCTTGAGGACGATTTGTTGCTCCAATAACAAGCAATCTTTCTTCGTTATCAGTAGTGGCGCCATCTAATTGAACTAGAAATTCAGTTTTCATTCTTCTAGAAGATTCATGTTCCGTATCACTTCTTTGGGTCAAAAGAGAATCTACTTCGTCAATAAAAATCACCTAAAAAACAATAATTCATTAAACACAACAATGTTGGTAAAACTATTACTTACAGCTGGTTGGTGTACTCTGGCCACAGCAAATAAAGCTCTAACCATTTTTTCACCATCTCCAATCCATTTGGAAGTCAATGATGAAGCACTGATACAAAAAAATGTAGATTTACTTTGGGCAGCAACACATTTACCTTGAAACATAGATTTCAAAATACAATTTAATTTCCTTGGATTCAATAGATACCTATTAAAGTCTTTCCTGTTCCAGGTGGTCCAAATAGCAAGATGCCTTTAGGAGGTCGACGTAAACCAGTAAAAATATCAGGCCTTAACATTGGCCATACAACCGCTTCTTTTATGGCAGATTTTGCAAACTTTAACCCTGCAATATCATCCCAGCTGATTGATGCACCTTGGTCCATTATTTCTGCCATTATAAGTTCTACCATTTTTTCCTCAATATTTTTAAGTCTTTCGCCTACTATTTTTAAAGGTTTTTCTTCATTTAAATCACTAGAACTAGTTAAAAATTAGTAAAAAACTGTCCAATAAAATGTGTTCAAACAACCTTTCTTTTCGACTCAGAAGAGGACTAATAAATTTGCTTTTTATTGATCGTTTTGATCCCAATTCTTTTTGTTGCCCAGTATCTTCCAAATTTTGTTTTCCTCTATTTCCAAATTTATCTTTTTCTTGAATATCAAACTCCTCTCTTGCTGTTACAAATGCTGGTGGAGGAATTTCATTATTTCTATTATTTTGTTTTCTACTTGAAGCCAAATTTTGGAATGCATTTGTTTTATTATTGGCTGAAACTGACTGAACCCAATCATTTTTTTTTGGCTTTTGTAGCTTATCGGAGAGCTTATCCAAATTATTAAATTTTTCTTCAAGAGTTAATCTTTTTTTGGGTACACTACCTGACACCTCTGAACAGTCTTCATTTTTGGGATCTTTAAATTCTTTTTCACTTGATTCAAAAGTTTCGTCTGAATCTGTTGAAACTGCTGCATGTGAATAATTTTGTTTTGACTTATGTGGCCTAAATTCTCTAAATAATTCTGTTGGAAATAGTTTCTGGTCTTTAGCTTTACTAGCTGATGGTTCTAAACACTGTTCATCTTCTGAAGAAAATAAATTAATAAATTGCTCTGCTTCAGAGTGGCCAATTTTTTCTGAAGCTCGGCAGGATACTTTTTGATCAGGAGTACAAATTAAATCTGTCATATAAGAACATATTTGTATTTCAGGCAAATATTCAGGAACTTTTAATTTTTGCCTATTATTAGCAATATCAGGATAAGCTTTTTGAAGAAGGGCATCATAAATGTTACTTCCGTTTTGATCAACCGTGTTTGTGTATATGTTCAAGTTGTGATCGAGCATGTCACAACTACCTGCATTGTCCAAGCTAAAAAATAGAAAAATGAAATGCGACATACAATCAATAAAAAGGAAAAATAAGGAAGGAAAATAAAATAATTTTAGTCACTATTTGTTACTGTTATGTAATAACTCAAGGTTCCCAGGTTGCCTAATGGGTAACTTAATGACGCATATGGGGTGCCTTATGGAGATTTGCATTAGGTTGAGGCAACCCAGATGACGTCATAAAGATATCAGGCAACCTACCTCTCTCAAACAACCTTGGTAGTTACCTACCATATTTTCTAGTGCTTTTTCCAATTTCACAACAATACTGACAGACTGGTGTGAAGTTAGCACGCCGCTCAAGCACGCCCAAGAGTAAAGTAAGCACTCCATTAGAGCACGCCAAAGTGTAAAAAGTTAGCACGCCAAAAAGCACGCCGCTCAGGCATGCCAAAGTGTGAAGTTTACACGCCATTCTAGCAAGCCGCAATTTTTTTTTTCTTTCATTCACGTAAGATGGTGTTTCCCGTCCATATTTGGAGGGATGCTTGTTCAAGGGATGCCTCATCATCCCTCAAAAAGAAAATTCCTTGCCAGCCGTCAAACTTAGAAAAATCATCGCTTGTGTGAAAAAATGTTGAAAATTTCATATTTTCTTATTTTTTCTTCAGACACCTAGACGGTGTTTCACGTTCAAATTTAGAAGGTTGCTTGTTCAAGGAATGTTTACCATCCCTCAAAAGGAAAATTCCTTGCCAGCCGTCGAACTTAGGAAAATCATTGCTTGTATGAAAAAATATTGAAAATTTCATATTTTTTCTTCAGACACCTAGATTGTGTTTCACGTTCAAATTTGGAAGGATGCTTGTTCAAGGGATAAGGATGCTTGTTCAAGGGATGCTTTATCATCCCTCAAAAGGAAAATTCCTTGCCAGCCGTCGAGCTTAGGAAAATCATCGCTTTTATGAAAAAATATTGAAAATTTCATATTTTCCTCAATATTTTCTTATTTTGTCTTCAGACACCTAGATGGTGTTTCACGTTCAAATTTGGAAGGTTGCTTGTTCAAGGGATGCTTTATCATCCCTCAAAAGGAAAATTCCTTGCCAGCTGTCCAACCTAGGGAAATCATCGCTTGTATGAAAAAATATTGAAAATTTCATATTTTCTTATTTTATCTTCAGACACCTAGATGGTGTATCACGTTCAAATTTGGAAAGTTGCTTGTTCAAGGGATGCCTCATCATCCCTCAAAAAGAAAATTCCTTGCCAGCCGTCAAACTTAGGAAAATCATCGCTTGTATGAAAAAATATTGAAAATTTCATATTTTCTTATTTTTTCTTCAGACACCTAGATGATGTTTCACGTTCAAATTTGGATGGTTGCTTGTTCAAGGGATGCCTCATCATCCCTCAAAAAGAAAATTCCTTGCCAGCCGTCAAACTTAGGAAAGTCATCGCTTGTATGAAAAAATATTGGAAATGTCATGTTTTCTTATTTTTTCCTCAGACACCTAGATCGAGTTTCACGTTCAAAATTGGAGGTATGCTTGTTCAAGGGGTGCCTCATCATCCCTCTAAAGGAAAATTCCTTGCCAGCCGTCGAACAAAGAAAAATCATCCCTTCAATGAAAAATGAATTAAGAATGTGTCTTCAGTTGGTAAAAATCGTGCCCAGGAATTTATATTTTATTGGTAGATACCATAAACCACAATACAATAGCAGCTTTCTATAGGGGACGATGGTATAGGGCAGGCTGTGGAGAATATAGGTATAGCCGGGGGTATAGCTAAACAATGTTGCCAAGTAATTTAACAGAAACAAAGTCTTCCAAATTTATTTGGGAATCAGCTGGGTTCATTAGTTCAAAAATTTATTGAACGGTTTATTTTTTATAAAAAACGTTTCAAAACGGGACTAAGTATGCAGGTAATATATATTTTTCCAAATTTGAACGTGAAATACCATCTAGGTATCTGAAGAAATAATAAGAAAATATGGAATTTTCAATATTTTTTCATACCTACAAGGGATGATTTTCCTAAGTTTGATGCCTGGCAAGGAATTTTCCTTTTAAGAGATGATAAAGCATCCTTTTGAACAAGCATCCTTTTAAATTTGAACGTGAAACACCATCTAGGTGTCTGAAGAAAAAATAAGAAAATATGAAATTTTCAATATTTTTTTCATACAAGGGATGATTTTCCTAAGTTTGACGGCTGCCAAGGAATTTTCCCTTTGAGATATGATAAAGCATCCCTTGAACAAGCATCCTTCCAAATTTGAACGTGCAACACCATCTAGGTGTCTGAAGAAAAAATAAGAAAATATGAAATTTTCAATATTTTTTCATACAAGGGCTGATTTTCCTAACTTTGACGGCTGGCAAGGAATTTTCCTTTTGAGGGATGATAAAGCATCCCTTGAACAAGCAACCTTCCAAATTTGAACGTGAAACACCATCTAGGTATCTGAAGAAAAAAAGAAAATATGAAATTTTCAATTTTTTTTCATACAAGGGATGATTTTTCCTGAAAACTAGGCATGGGATAAATTAACCGGTTATTCCAATAACCGGTTAACCTAACGTTTAAAAACCGGTTATTTTCGGTTATTATTTTCATCAGGTTTAACCTAATAACCGGATTCACTTACCAATAACCGACATTCGGTTATTCGGTTGATATTTTTTTCTTTTTTCAAACTATTGACTTATCTGTCCCCACACTTATAAGCATGATTTCAAAAAATTCAAACGAAAGATCTCAGAAAAAATTTCCAATGGAATGCATTTTTTACTCCACCTTCATATTTATGATAAGAGATGGCGCGACCATGCGACAAAAACTACAAAAACCCCTACAATTCAACGATGTGGAAACTTGAATTTTCCATGGTTATTTTTGCAAAATATAAAAAGAAAAGAAATAAAAAGTGCCCTCGTCGATGCAAGGAGGATACACATCTACAGGACTGCTTATCGGCCTCGTTTTTGGTAATTGCAGCCATATTGGTGTGTCACCATTTCCGACATCATAACTAAGTCTGCTGTTTCGCTAAGTCATCTGTTTAAACAGCCTACGTCAATGCGAGAAATAACATGCTGTTTTTCTTTGTTTAATTGTGTAAATTAGAAAGAGATAGTAGTAGTAGTGGAGAGAGAGAAAATTTTAACCGGTTATTGTGATAACCGGTTATTTACTAAAGGTTAATCGTATAATGTTATTTTTCTTAGAAAAATAAACCGGTTAACCGATAACCGGTTATTTTCCAATAACCGCCCATGCCTACTGAAAACTCTGGACAATTTTAGATTAGGCATTCCAGGTTAGTCATAACCGATCCGCCATATTAGCTTGGGGGGCACACAAAAGCCAAACATAACCTGATTCAATGTTAAACCAAGAATTTTCAATCTATTTTGTGAAGATGCCTTCTTTTTGCTGCGTTGTTGGGTGCTCTAGTAGAGCGGAAAGAGATAAAGAAAGGTTTTTCAGGATCCCAGCAGCATTAAGAGATCTAGGGAATCGTCTAAACGAGCTAAAAAAGGAACGACGAAATCTGTGGATTAAATGCCTCAAAAGGACTCAACTGAAACGTTTTTGAAAACTGCTCGTATTTGTTCAAAACATTTTGTTAATGGTAAGTATTATGACTGTCTTGTTGTTAAAATACAAAAAAAAATTCATCTCGGTACATCAAAAAAGTTGTTTATGTTTCTACAAGTATATAGGTAACTTTTAATACCTTTTAGGTAGTCCAGCAGAATTTAAGGATACAAACAATCCGGATTGGGTCCCCAGTACAAATTTAGGATATACTACGATGATTGATAGAAGCCCAGAATGAACAAGTCAGTAAGCTAAGCTACATGCCATATCTGTGCACCGATCAGAACAGTCAAAACGTTTGAGAAGTCATTCTACCACAAATTTATTTTGCTAAAGTTTATTTGTAAGGTTGTTAGTATCAAACTTTTTTATTTTTTAAACAATTTAGATTCTTAAGCATTATTTTTGTTAATAAATTGTTTGTTTACTATTGTTGAATTGAAATGTAAAGTGACATGTCTGTAAATAGAGATCCATTCATTCATTCACAAAAACTAAAGATAACTTAAAATTTATTGAATAAATCAAAAAACGCAAAAATTCCAAAGCACAAACTCAAAAAACATTGTAAACAATGATCTATAGGCTTTGTTTGCCCCTCAGCTAATATGGCGGATTTGTCAAAAGTCACGTGACCTGGAATGCCTAAATAAATAGCTTTGTTTTGGTTCGAAATTTGGAACGGTTCTAGGATTGCGCAGAACTGCTTGCGCACAAAAAAATAATAGAGGACTGTTCTAATACTAGTTCTGAACCGATTCGGAACCAAAAAAACCAAAACACAAAGTTCTAAAACAGTTCCTCCTTCGGAGCAAGAACTGAGAGAACCGTTCTAGAACAATCCCAGAATTGTTCTTAAAAAGTTCTAGAAAAACCAAAACACTCTCAACATAGTTCGATTACGATTCTGAAAAAACCAAAACGCATTTTATAATATGCGCATGTGCAGAATGATTCCGAACTAGTTCTGAGTGAAACCAAAACAAAGCTTTGTGTACTGTAGTTTTATGTTTTAGTAGGCAATCTACTGACCTGTCAAAAACGAAATTCAATATGGAAGTTCGGGTCAAGCACTGTGTTGTTTATTCTATATGTCATTGATTCTGTCACATTCTGGACAAACGTCAAGATTTAATTTATCGGATTTTGTGTTTTTTTGTGTGTTTAGGTATTGTGTTAATTGAAATGCCAGCGATTTGCATCGTAATTGGGTGTGGAAGTTGAGGTAACAGGGCTTATGTGAAATTTTATTCAGTTCCTGCTATTTTAAATCATCGGCTTTTGATCTACAAAAGTGAATTATCAAAACAACGCAGGGCTTTATGGACTGCTGCAATTAAAAGAAAGGATCTAACAGAAGCTCGATTTTCCCTTAATAATACCTTAAGATATTCACTCTCCATCTCAGAATTTATTATTAAATTAAAA